TTTTATTCACTGCACAGATATGACGGTCCCTAATGTGACTTGCCCAGTTAACATTGAGGTGTGCACTGACCTAGGAAAAGATTCAGTGAATGCCACCTGGGAACCAGCCAATGCAACTGACAACTGCTGTAGTTATGTCAACATAACTGCTAACTACACCAGTGGAGACCCTCTGAGCCTTGGTGTATACACCGTAGGATATGCGGCAAAAGATTGTAATGAGAATGTTGGTTACTGTCAATTTACTGTTGAAGTTAAAGGTAGGCCTACCAGATACAATTGCAAATCAGTAGTTAAACATTAATTTTCATTATTATTCATTATTTCAAATTAAATAATAATAAACACATAATATTCTGTAGTTAAGCCATTAAATTTTACAAATGAATGTTGCACTGAAAGCATTTAATGTAATATAATTAGATTGTGAGCCTCCGGATCTTGAATGTCCATCTAGCCAAAACGTAACAGGTGACGAGACCTGCTGGGCAAATGTCACCTGGACAGCACCCACTGTTACAGACAACTCTGGAGATTCTTTCACACCAGTATGTGATCATATAGGAAGCACATTTTATGATGTCAGTACTGTTGTAACATGTAATGCCACTGACAATTATGATAACACTGGCAATTGTACATTTACCATTACTATTTATGGTAAGTCATGTTTTTTATTTGTGGTATAATAATATATAATGCATTAAGAAAAGATTATAAATAGTATTATTATTAAAAGCAAATGTAGGGTATGATTATAAAATTAAATACCAAGAATAAAGATAATCAAAGTATTGTAAAGTTTTTCAATATTATTGGAATGTTTATATTTATTTTATAGATAAAATTATGTTAATACATTTAGGTATTTAGACTAGTAAACTAATTCCTCCATGGTTAATATTGGAAATTCCAAGTATGTATTACGAACATAATAATATACTCTATTTTAATCACTCAATAATTTTTAATTTAACCAGATGGTGAAGATCCAATCATAAATTGCCCAGCTGACATAAAGGTTTGTGCTGAAACTGGTTCTATAGCAGCATCTGTCACTTGGGAACCCATCAACGCAACTGACAACTGTTGTGACAATGTAAAAATAACGGCAGATTACACATCAGGAGATGAATTTGAAATTGGTGAAAATATAGTAACATACATAGCCACTGACTGTAGTGACAACTCCGCATTCTGCAATTTTACTATAGTGGTGTTTGGTAATAACAATATTTTTTGTGTTTGTTGAGAATTATTCAG